CCCCAATATAGTAACTTCATTTAACCCTAAACACCTATATTCCCCAAGTTTCCATTTCATTTTCCATTTTCTTTTCCATTTGATTCTCCATTATAGGGGGATAATATAGTAACTTAATTTAAGTATCATAACCCCAATATAACCCTAGTATATTATAGCAGTTTCCATTTTATTTTCCATTATTCCATTATACCCATTATAGTAACTTAATTTAAGTTCCTTAACAGCAACCCAGGAACAGGGAGGCTGGAGGCTCGAGTTCCAGGGAGGGTGGATCTGTTCCCACCTCTCCCAAGACTGTCGCTAGGGGAAAGAAGAACCCCTATGCAACTTTGCTGCTTGACCCGGAGTGCTGTCTTCTGGCTGGTGCCTTGGGACTCTATGAATTCATGAACTACCCTCCGATGAATTCCGTTGCAATCCTACTTATGAAGGAGCGTCTCAACTGGGGACCACTGGAAGCAGGGCGCTTTGCTTCTGGACATGCGCTGGCAGGCTTTTGTGGTTCCATGCTGGCGGGCAGGCTTATTCAATTCTTCGGGAAAAGGTTGTATGTGAGCGTCACAAACCTGCTGACAAGTGTGGCCTACTTCACGTGGGCCGTCTCCAAGACTGGCCCCGGCCTTGTAGCGTGCCTGCTGCCTCTCTGCTTTGGGACAGGCCCTGAGACGCATGAAGCATCTGTTGAGCTTTCCGAGTTCTTTCAATTTGCCATTTGAGCCAGAATCTAAGCTCCTTAAAGGGGGTTTGCAGGGGTATGAAGGGGAATAATAGGAGTTCAGACTATAGCTGCACTATAGCTCATGTAAAGCCTGAGCAGCCGCTACCTGCGCCTATCCGGACGTGGCAGGTGGGAACACTGTGCTACTGACGCGCTTTGTAGAGCGGGCGGTGCAGTTGGGCCTATCTCGGGGTGAGGCAATGGCTGGCTGAGTGTTGACTGCTGCGGGTCAGCCTAAGTTCTGTAGATATGAGCTATAGTCTAAACTCCTTAAAGGGCGGTATAGAGGGGGTTTGATAGGGGGTGTATGATAGGGGCTACTAAGGGGGATGCTAGGAGTTTAGACTCTAGCTCACCTGCGAGTCATGTTTTCATTAGTCATCCTAAGCCCAAAACCCTAAACCTACCAGGGCTTCCCCTCCAGGCCATGGGTGTCATGTCTGCCATTGGGGCTATGGGTCGGATGGCTGCACCACAGCTCTTCACTCGCCTGTGGCTTGCTGGTGCTTAAGGGTGAGTGGGGTAGTGAATACAGGCGCCATTACAGGGGTATATATGGGGATCATATAGGAATTATTACAGGGATTCTAAACTCAAACCCCTATCCACTCCCCCACTCTCCCGTAAGCATCAGTAAGGTGGCTGCGGGCTGTGGCACAGAAAGGTCGGCCGCGGGCTCTGCCGCTGGGCGCTCCCATGCTGTCAGTGGCCGCAATCGCCTTGATCCAGGATGATGGGATTCCCATATATATATATATATTTTTGTTTGTGTGTGTGTGTGTTTGTGTCTCAGTATCACTTTTTTCACTGCCTTTTTGCCCCTCAGGAGCTCTTGTATCGAAGTTCGTTGCTTGTTCGGTCGACCTGATGACTATAGAGGAGAGACCTGAGCCGCTTTATTCTCTTTACAACTCATCCCCACCCTGGGGATGGATGCCCCATGATTCATAGCAGCAAGCAAAGGCAAATGAGCGGCGCTGCCTTCTGGCAGATTCCTCTGAGTTCTATGGGGTTATATGGGGATGTACTACTCCAATTATGGAGAATTTCAACGACAAGACATTGGCACATTGCATGGAAACTGGGATTCTATGGTTTGGTGACAGGGATTCGGATTTGCCAAAATTGAGGGTACCTTTCTCGGGGTCCCCCTTATTGGGATTCTAGTATTTTGGTGTCCATTTTGGCCCCTAAACCCTCAACCCTCAACCCTAAACCCTCAACCCTCAACCCTCAACCCTAAACCCTAAACCGCCTGTTTATGGAAACTATCAAATCTCGTCTGAGTTCGAGACAGGCCTGCGCAGCATGTGGCTCGATAGGCAGCTTCAGGTCGCATGTGACCAGCATAAGAGATCCAATGCTACCCTAAACCCTAAAGGGTTTAGGGTTTAGAGTTTAGGGTTTAGGGTTTAGGGTTCCAATGCTACCCTAAACCCTAAACCAGTTGTGTGACAGACTGAACTTCCGTTTCTTTAAACGTGTCTAACGTCGGTCAGACTTCCTGGAAGCCATGCGTCTATTCTAAACAAGATGGTCCCCTGCGAATACGAGATGTCCAAGCCCAGCAAAACGCGATGGTCCCCTCCAACACTCTCCAAAGAATGACAGGCGAGATAGAATGAGATTGCAGAAGGAGTGTAGGTAGTTTCCCCCAATAGTACTTTCCTCCAAAACTAGGGAGACCCCAATATAGACCCCAAAATACTGTATTCCCTATTATGGGGACCTTAGTTTTATCATTGGCCAGACAAGAACTGCTTTAGGGGTTTAGGTTTAGGGTTTAGGGATGTTTAGGGTTTAGGCTCATGAGAAGACTTGTCTTTCCGCACATCACAGCTTAGATGGAACATGGTGAAATGCCAGCCGCGAGTCCGGGCCTTATGTCACCTCCATGGCTATATCATCCCAGTCTTGATTTCATTGTCCATTCTCTTTTCCTTTTGATTCTCCATTGTTCCTACGTACATAACCCCAATGAAGAGGTGGTTTCGATTGGCGATGTCTCGATGCCAGCATCAGAGACCCTCTCGCCACTGGACTCTTGCCTGCATGTAGTCCAACCCCTAAACCCAAGGCCCTAAAGTCCTAAATCCATTAAACCCTAAATAGTAGTTTCCATTTTATTTTCCAGTATCCCAATATAACCCCAATTTTTCCTGGGGGATGGCGCAGGGTCCCGTGACTTGAAAATCTGACACTGTTATAGGGTAGTTTATAGGGTTTTATAGGGGTTACATAAGGACCCAAAACCCTAAACCCTAAAACCCTAAACCCTAAACCCCAAACCCCAAACCCCAAACCCTAAACCCTAAAACCAGAAGGGATGTTTAAGTAAATGGAAAAGAAAATGGAAGCTACTATTTAGGGTGGATGACCGAGGTTCCCGATGTGCCCCCTCGGCGAGGTGGCCTTCTCCCGAAGGTGCGGGTCAGCACCTAGGAATCCCTATGGGTGATTGTCAAAATTATGGTCCTTTTTTGGATCTCCTAAATATTAGGTGCCGTATTATAATAGGGACCCAAAAAAGGACCATAATTTTGACAACCACCTTTATAGATCCCTTTTGTATTCCCAGTTTCCATTTGACTCTGCATTTTCAATGTACTAATTAGGGGTAATATCCCTAAATCCTGAACCCTAAACCATATATTACATCCCTATATATCCCTATATATCCCCATACAGCCCCATATAACCCCATGTAACCGCATGTGACCCCTATTTTACCCGACAAAGCCTTATATCCCGTTTAAAGCCTTTTTTCAGGCGCAGGGAGGAAGCCTGCCTTCCTCCGAGTTGACAGCCCTCCGTTGGATGATGCAGAAGGCTAGCACACACGGGGTTTCCCAAAAAATTAGCGGTCCTAAAGGGATTATGTAGGGGTTATGTTATAGGGCTTATAGGGGTTATATTGGGGTATTAGGGTATAGGGTTCAGGGTACAATTTAGGAGGTGGTCCCCATATTAAGGGTTCTAGTATATTGGGGTGTATAAGGGGGATCCTAATTTTGGGAAACTACTACATTGGTGTTGTCCTGCGGCTTCATGCGATTGCACTGCAGGCGACGCTTAGACAGGATATGTTCCTGCTCGGGCCTTCGGGGCCTTTGCTCAGGCGTGACTGTTTGCATCTGTCTGCGTGCATTGTGTTTCAATTCGACTATAAGTCTGTACTTTGGAATCCCTATAAACAACTTCATACTCTCGGGTTCCACTTGATTTTCCATTCTCCTTTCCATTTGATTATCCACTATCTGGGGTGACATCCCAAACCCCAAACCCCATATTATATAATCCCTATATATTATGTAATCCCTATATCATACAATGCGTATAATTATATTCCCTGTGTAACCCCTCTAAAGGGGACCCCCAGGCATACCCTGCAACCTGCGAAGGCATACCGTATTCCGCTTCTGCGAGCTCCTCCGCCGCGAGGCACCATGCGGCAATGTAGGCTCTAGAGCTAGTTTGGGGTTATATGGGAGTTTCCCCAATTTGGGGGTACCATTTTGGGGGTTCCCCAATAATCATGACTGTAGTATTTTTGGATCTATATTGGGGTCCCCCGATTTTGGGAAACTACCATATAGGGTTACCCTAGGTTACTTTAGAGTTTAGGGTTTAGGGTTACGATGGGATTTAGGGTTATCCTAGGTTATCCTAAAGTTTAGGGTTTAGGTTCACGTTAGGGTTTAGGGTTATCCTAGCTTACCCTAGAGTATGGGGTTTAGGATTACGCTAGGGTTTAGCGTTGTAGTGTTACCCTAGGGTTTAAAGTTCAGGGTTACCCTGGGGTTCAGGTGTAAGGGTTTGGGGTTTAGGGTTGTCATGGGCGCCTCTGAATCCATTTGTCATGTTCCCTCTCCCACAACATGCAGACTTGAAGTTATACTGTACCTACTACCCCCCAGTAAGTATGATGTGACAATAGAATCCTCAATATATTACAGTAGTTTCCATTTCCTTTTCCATTATTCGCTACACTTAACCCCAAGAGATACCCTAAGCCCGAAAAGCCCAGTAAGTTTAGCTGGTATGAGCTGGTAAGCAGTAAGCAGTTTCTCTTGTCATCTTGTACTCGGCGACATCTGTCTGACTCCGGGACCTTTTTGAGAATCCTTTGTGCGCAGCGCAAGACATGGAGACTGGCGCTTGGATTGCCCTGTCTGGGGAAGATCAGTTTGATGTTAGGAAGTCGTGCGCACACTTCTTGTAGGTGGAGTACGTTGGCATCACGCGAGACACGGGTCGATGCCTAAGCAAGCACGCATGCACTCCATGGCTACTCTCCCAGTTGACATAGAGGAAAGAGAGACGAACGAGGCGAGGCAGATCTGAAGCAGCGCTGCGAGATCCGCGGTGGAAGTGTGGAGCCAGCTGCTTGGATGACGTCTTGTCGAGAAGAGAGAACTACAATCAGCTTGCGCTTCAGATACGTTGACCAAGCTCCTGTGCGAGCTGCCATCAACGGACGGATCCTGGTGCAGCCGACTTGGATTCCTTCAGATTAACTGTTGAGTGTGCGCGGTTTTTCCATCAGTGGCAAAGTGTGGCAAATTGCAAAGGCTGGAAGGCATCGAGAAGGCAGAGCGGAACGTCCTTCCGTTGCTGTGCCCCGGAAGCAATCAGGTCTGGATGCGTGTTTTTGTCATGGCTGCTTTCAGCACCGTACATGTGCAGGAACAACTTGCTTGAAAATCGCGAGATGGCGCTGGAGGACAGGCGAATCAACCTCCTACTTTCCTTTTGAGTGATATTGCGTTATATGAAGCCACATATAGTTACATCGGGTGTTTTATCAGGTTTTATAGGCTCATATTGGGTTATGTTGTTTGGTTGTATTCTGCCTTGCTTCCGCCCTCTTGGCATTTCTGGGTGTGCAGGCGCTTTCTCCTGGCGCCGGGGCGGGCCAAACAGCTGCAGAAGCAGTTTGGCACTGACCAGGAGCTGCCAAACTCAACTTGACTTGGGGGTTAGGGTTTAGGGTTTGGAGTTTAGGTGGTTCAGAGGTTTAGGGTTCAGGGCTTTGGGGTTTAGGTTTAGGGCCTCAGACAGTTCAACGAGAATTTTACCGCCATGACCCTATGTCCTATGCAACCCAAGGCTCTACATAGCCCAGTATAACCCTAAAAGAACGTATATAACCTTATATAGCTCAATTCAACCCTGTATAAACCTATTCAACCCTATATAACCCTCTTGAACCCTATAAAACCCTATATAACCGCAGGAGTTTTCGCAGCTGGTTCCTGTGCATGAAGACTTTTTGGTGGTAGCTTTGGGGTCTCCTGACAGAGGCCAGGTGGATTTCATCAGACAAATTCATTCAGCAAAGGTGTTCGTCCAGACATACAATCCTAATAAAAACAATAATAATGATAATATTAATACCAGTAGCAGTATTAAGAATAGTAATAATAATAGTGATAATAAAACTAGTAAGAAGGGTAATAGTATTAGTAGTAATGGCAGTATCAAAGCGAGGCAATCCTTTGGATCCACCTCTGCGGTCACGCTTCGCAGCGCTTCAGCTTAGACCGTCACAGCCGTCAGAGCCCGCGCCTCCATCAGCTGCCAGACGACATCCTCCTGGGTTGCTGTTAAGGGATTATCCCCCTATAATGGAGAATCAAATGGAAAAGAAAATGGAAAATGAAATGGAAACTTGGGGAATATAGGGGTTTAGGGTTAAATGAAGTTACTATATTGGGGAAACCCTATTAATTACTATGCATATATACAACTTAACTTGAATTCCTTAACAGCAACCCAGGCTCTTGATGTGCATGACTTTTGCCCGGCAAGGCTTTTGAGCCCCCTTGCGCAATTGGCACCATCACTGCCCATCTCCAGTTTGGAGAG